CACTTTTCTGATGAAGGGTCCAGGCCCGAAACGTCAGCCTCTCTGCTCCTATGCTGCTGCTTGGCCTGCTGTGTTCATCCAGCCCTGCACCTTGTTGTCTCGGATTCACCAGCATCTGCAGTTCCTACTATCTCCAAAACCTTACAGTTCCTCAACCCCATTCTCCTGCTTTCTCCCCGTAACCCTTGATCCCCTTGATAATCAAGAACCTATCTATCTCAGTCTTAAATGTACTCAATGGCCTGGCTTCCACTGCCTTCTATGGCAGTGAATTCCATAGATTCACCACTCTCTGGCTGAAGAAGTTTCTCCTTATCTCCATTCTAATAGGTCTTCCCTTTACTCTAAGGCTGTGACCTTGGGTCCTAGTCTCTCCTACTAATGGAAGCATCTTCCCAACATCCATTCTGTCTAGGCCATTCAGTATTCTGTAAGTTTCAATTAGATCCCCCATTATCCTTCTGAACTCCAATGAGTATAGTCCCAGAATCCTCAAACATTCCTCATATGTTAAGCTTTCCATCCTGGGACCATTCTCGTGAACCTCCTCTGAACCCGCTCTAGGGCCAGTACATCCCTCCTGAGATATGGGGCCCAAAACTGCACACAATACTGCAAATGTGGCCTGACCAGGGCCTTATAAAGCCTCAGTAGTACATCCCTGCTTTTGTATTCAAGTCCTCTCAAAATAAATGCCAACATTGCATTTGCCTTCCTGACTACTGACTCAACCTGCAAGTTTACCTTGAGAGAATCCTGGACTAAAACTCCCAAGTCTGTTTGCACTTCAGACTTCTGAATGTTCTCCCCATTTAGAAAATAGTCCATGCTTTTATTCTTCTTACCAAACTACACGACCTCACACTTTCCCACATTGTACTCCATCTGCCACTTCTTTGCCCAAAAGAATTCTGCAACTGCCAGAAATTTCATCAACAAAGAATCAAAGGAAACATGAGAAGTCAATCCATTTCATCTTTTGAATTTGCACGCTTGACCCTTAGGGATATGGTTTGATCTTTATTTTCCAAACCTAAAAGAAATCTGAAGAGCTGTGCTGTCTTGTCCTTGTATGAATGTATACATTTCGGACTAAGGGAATATAGTTTAATTCTGAATAGTAGCTTAGTTGGTAGTCAGTTTTGTCATTTATTTAAAGATTAAGTCCTGCTTCTAATAAATTAGTTATTTGCAAGTTCAATAAAGCTGACTGCTGGACATTTCTTTTACTCTGAGGAGTACTACAAAAAAAATGAGTCAAAATTACCATTTTGTTGAGTCAATAAAATAGGTACAGTTTTGGTATAGTTCAGAGTACTGGGGTTTGCCTGCCATGATATTGCTCCTGTTAAAGCTGTAATAATGGCCATTCTTTCAAAACTTTTGGGTGAAATCCATTAGCCCCATTTGTTTCATGGTCCTTTTTATCTACTGATAGTGATCGTTTAAGTTCTTCCGTCACTTGGGCTCTGTGATTTTCTACTTTTCTTGGATTTCCATCACACTTCATCACAGCAATTAGGGATGGGCAACAAATGCTGACCCTGCCAGCCACATCCACAGCCTGTGAAAGAATTAAGAAAAAAATGGAGCTGACATGATTAACCTTAATCTCCTTCTTTTACACTTGGTACAACTCCAATCAACGGTGTATTTTCTACCTTGAATCTCACCGATTCCAATCTAGCTCGCATTCCTTGTTGCCACACTCAGTCAAAAATTGTCTCTATATTAACAGAGTAGTAATTCGCCAGTTTGCTTTTTCCTGCATTTCATGATCCAATGATCTCAACCATTTCAAAATCACGTACAGTGAATCAAATTCACTGAAGTCTGAACACTTTGACGCTGGGGATCTCAGTAGAAGGGCAAGATAGATTACCTATTTCTGGCTAAGCTGCAAATGTTTTAAGTCTAGTCTTTTGCACTACTCGGCTGGACATCCTCATCATTAGAAATGGGAATGCTTGTGCAGTCTCCTCCTCCAGACAGCACTTTCTGAATAATGACAACTAAGCTTCACTTAAGTCAATGGAGTGGGTATCAAACCCATAATCCTCTGAAGTGAGAAAGCTTCCATTGAGTCAAGCTTGACACAAAGACTGAATGAATGTGTGCTATCAGTTTAGGCAGATTAGCAAGCATTCATGACTTACAAACTATTGCATTAAACTTGGTTTAATAATTTCTTCAGAATTTGAAGACAATGTTGTATTTACAAAAACAGATAATAAGCTTTTTGGTACTCAATGTAGAAGTGGAATTTTCAATTACAAACATGCACAGAAATTATACTGGATTATGTTTCAAAACACACCAGTGACACCTGCCCAAATGACTGAGCAAGATAACCGAGCATCTGCCCTTTGACCTTCTTACCAGATCGACATATTCAGTGATCATGTAGTGTGGCTCCATTTCACGGCATAGTCCTAGCAGTTTCACAACATTGTTGTGGTTCATCTTGCTAAACATCTCAAATTCTCGACGGAATTCCAGCTGTAGTTGTTCATCCCGCGTAGTCAAACTCTTCACCAGAACCACTGTCTCTACCTCACTTTTATCAATCCCTTTGGCTTTGGCCAAGAAGACCTCACCATACTCTCCTTTTCCTGCATTTACAAACACAAGCAAAGATTGAATAATGTGATAACTTTACAACAAACAGCACTAGATGTTAACAGGGAAGCTTTTTTGACAACTTTTTTTTTATTATTCATTTATGGGATTTCAGCATCATGGTCTCGGTCAACACTAGTTAACCATCCTTAATTGCCCTCCAGAAGTTGATAGTGACCTCCTATTATGAAACGCTACAGTCCTTGGAGTGTAAATACGCCCACAGTGCTGTTAGGGAGCTCCAAGATTTTGACCTATAGACAGTGAATGAACATAACATATTTTAAAGTCAAGACTGCATGTAGTTTGGAGGGATAGAGTTGTGATGCACCTACTGCCCTTGACCTTCTCGAAGTTCGGGGTCACAGGTTTGAAAGGTGCTAAGGAGACTGAGTGAGTTGCTGTAATGCATCTTTTGGATGGTTCATACTACTGTCATTGTATGTCAATGGTGAAGGGAGCAAATATTTAAGGTGGTGGGTGCCATAAAGCTGCTGCTGCTTTGTCCTGGATGGTGTTGAGCTTCAACTGTTAAGACTGTTCATCCAGGAAAGTGGAGAGTATTCCATCATATTCCTGAATTGTGCCTGTAGATATTGGGCAGGCAGTGCAGAACAGGAAGTTAGTTAATGTTACGAAGTTGGGTAGAGTATTTAACAAACTGGAAGGCAGGAAGTTAGAATTGGTTGGTAAAAATGATCGTTGGGGAAAAGAATGCCATGGGCCCTTTAAGAGCTTGTGCTTTGAAGTTTATAAATGCAAGTGCATAAAGAGTACCTGAATGTAAACATTTTGTATAGAGCAGCCAAGCAGCATTTTTCCAAAAACAAGTTTGAGTGGGCCAATTAACTTAAACCAAGCACCTAGACACAGAAAGCCAACTGAATTTAAATCTGATGGTGTTGACAACCTGAAACCCATCATATTATAAGAATTTGATTAAGTCATTATGGGTATGCAAGACGAGGGCATTTGGAAAATCAGAGCTAGCATTCACCACCTGCCAGAGTTAGCACCATTCAGCTCTCAGAGAAAGCCCAGCTAATTAATCAAAGGTACCACTGTATTTAGCTTAAAGTCCTCACTGAAGAAATTACAGAGATAAAATATCCCTGACAGCAGAATTAGTGGAATGTGTTTGTGAAGAGAGTGGAGATGACAGAATATTCCAGAAAATAGTCTGTGTGAATTTGAAGAGATTAAGTTATACTTCATTGTTCTGTTGTTATTAATTGGGTTTATTAAGTGGAGCTAGTGTTTATTTGAACAGTATTCCAGTGGATTTAGGCCAGTTAGAAAGTAGTTAGTAGTATAAGGGGGAATTGTCAGTTTGTTAGTAATTCTGTTAATTTGTTAATTGTTGGGTTAAATAAATAAATTGTTTCTTGTTACTTGTGAAGTGGAGATCAGGGATTTTCTTTCTTTTAACCAATTTTAATAGATTATGAGGGGAAAGGTGAGCTTTTCTGGGTGTTTCGGGGGGTTATTATTAGAAGGGAACCTGTACTCCCATCATAACAGATTGGGGTTTGTGTTTAGTTTAATTATTAGAGGGGTTCAGCTACTCCCCCTCTGTAAGATTAATCACTACAGAATTCCTAACATCTGACCTGTTAGAAACCTCTTCCTTTGTGCGATATATAATTTCAACCACTGGAAAGCTTTCCCTCTGATGCTGGATCTCCTCTATGTCATACTTGGTCAAATATAAAACAGAAATTGCTGGAGAATCTCAGCAGATCTGGCAGCATGTGCGGAGAGAAATCAGAGTTAACATTTCAGGTCCAAAGGCCCTTCTTCAGAACACATACTTGGTCAAATGCTGCCTTGACATTAAGTGTAAACACTTACTTCAAGTCTTTTGTCCAGGTTTGGACCAAGGTTGTAATGAGGTCAAGGCCACAGCGGCCTTGGGGAAACCTAAACTGTGCTTAAGCAAGCAGGTTACTGCTGAGCAAATACTGCTCGATCGGACTGTTGATGACTCCTTACATCAACTTGCTGATAGTCGAGAGTAGAATGACGGAACAGTAATTGGCCTGGTTAAATTTGTCCCACTTTTTTTTTGTACAGGATACCAGTGGGTTATTTTCCAGATTGACAGGTAAATGTTAGTATTGTAGTTGTACTGAAACAGCTTAGCTAGGTCCTGCAGCTGGCCTGGAATACAAGTCTTCAGTACAATAGATGAACAAAGATACCCTGGAGTACAGGTTCACAGTTCCTTGAAAGTGAAGTCACAGGTAGATAGGATAGTGAAAAGGGCATTTAGTACGCTTGCCTTTATTGGACAGTGTATTGGGTATTGGAATTGGGAGATCATGTGGCTGTAGAGGACATTGGCTGGGCCACTTTTGGAATACTGTGTTGCAATTCTGGTCACCCTTCTGCAGGAAGGATGTTGTAAAACTTGAAGGAGTTCAGAAAAGATTTACAAGGATGTTGCTAGGATTGGAAGGTTTGAGCTGTAGGGACAGGCTGAATAGGCTAGGGCTATTTTCCCTAGAGCTTCAGAGGCTGAAGTGTGACCTTGTAGAGGTTTATAAAATCATGAGGGGCATGGATAGGGTAAATGGACAAGGTATTTTCCCTAAGATGGGGGAGTCCAACTACAGGGCATAAGTTTAAGGTGAGAGGGGAAAGATCTAAAAGGGACCTAAAGGGCAACATTTTCATGCAGACGGTGGTGTGTATATGGAAAGAGGTACTAGAGGAAGTGGTGGAAGCTGGTATGATTACTGCATTTTAACAGGCATCTGGATATGTTGTGAAGACATCACTTGTACTTAATAATTAATCGGTTCTCCATTATGGAAACCAACGGGGTAAAACATTGAGGGTAGCAAGAATGTACTGAGTTGGGAATTTCATTACCAAGAGTCGCTCAGCAGCACCTCTACTGACTGAGCTGATGAATCCTAAGGAATATAGCTGTGAGCATAGCTGTGCAGCATGTGATGAGTTAACCAGCAAGAAAGAAAAACCTACTTGATCTTTTCCATCCAACCAATGCTCCTTTCGTGATACATATGCCTGTGACCCCTAATGCAGTCGTTGTGACACCATTTTCACCACTTCCAGACACAGATTCCCCTCCCCTCCCCTCCCTTGCCTGCCCTCCGCAAGGACTGTTCCCTCCGGGACACCCTGGTCCACACTTCCTCCACACCCAACACCTCCCCACAGCCCAATGGCACCTTCCCCTGTAAATGGTGACGGTGCGACACCTGCCCATTCACCTCCTCCCTCTCTAGTATCCAAGGGCCCAAACATACCTTCCAGGTGAAGCAACACTTCACCTGCACTTCCCAGGATCTAGTCTGCTGCATTCGCTGTAGTCTCCTCTAAATTGGGGAAACGAAGCGTAGACTGGGTAACTGCTTCGCAGAACATCTACGTTCTGCTTGCAAAAAAGACCCTGAACTACCTGTTGCCTGCCACTTTATCGAACCGCCCTGTACCCTGGCCAACACCTCTGTCTCTGGCTTGCTGTAGTGCTCCAGCGAACCTCAATACAAGCTGGAAGAACACCTCATTTTCCGCTTGGGGAACCTACAGCCCTCCGGACTCAATATCGACTTCAATAATTTTAGGGCCTAAACTCTCCCATGTCCCAGCAGCCGACCCCACTCACCAGGCCTTGTTACCACACAGCCTGCCATTACACACCACCTGTTGTTAGTCACTAACAGTCCCCATTAACAACTATTCACCCTCCCAGCCTGATCGTTAGCAACTGTCTGTCCAACTGCTCTTCTCTCTCTTTAGGCTCTATCGTATCGTTTACTCCCTACCCCATCCCCCTCACTTTTTTCGGCATATAAACTGACGTTTTCCCAGCCACCATCCATTCACCGGACCCGAAACATTAACTCTGTTTTCTCCTTCACAGATGCTGCCAGACCTGCTGAGCTTTTCCAGCAACTTTGTTTTTGTTCCTGATTCAAAGCATCCGCAGTTCTTATTTACCCAGGGTTGTGATTGCCTTCAGATTTGAACGAGAGAAGTGTAGTTTATCATGCATGCTGTGGCGCTTGTTGGACATGACAGTCATACTCATGTTGTTAATGGATGCCTCCTCCTGAATCTCAGCTGTTAGCTGACCATTCTGCTGCAAAGTCCCACCTACATGTTGGAAAAGAAAATGAAGCTGTCAAAACATGTATTTAAGCCAGGTTACTTGTACCACAATAAACCTTTATTACACACAGAAATTCATATACTAAGGGACTAATCAAAAGAAGAATGCATTAATATACTACCTTTTGCATACCTCAAAAGTGCTTTCCAGCCAATAGAATATAAGTAATCACTGTTGTAATGTCAGAAATATAGCAGTTAACTTGTGCACAAGCTCTCAAAATGTTTTTTTGAAAATCAAGACCAGATATCAGATTTGAGATGCTGATTAAGGGATAACTATTGACCAGGCCACCAAGGAAGAGGATTTTGGGAAAAAAAAAGCCATGAGATCTTCTACACTCACCTGAGTGAGTTGGGGGCTTACTTCAACATGTCATCTGAAAATCTGCACCTCAGCCAATGCAGGACCGTCAGTTACTACACTGCAGAGTCAGTCTGGGGTTTGTTTACAAATCTCTAGACCATACCTTCTGACTTAGTGGCAATGGTGCAGCCAATAAAGCCTCAGCTGACAAACCGGCATCTAATTCTGATAGTTATTATCTGTTTAATTTTTTTTTTTACAACAAGAGTCACTGCATAATATATAAAAGCACTCCTTGTGTGCCTTAACCATTTGGGCCATCATATCTGTGCCTCCTTGCTGCAAGAGGAACGTATCCAGGTCTACTCTTTTGCCTGTTCGTTGTGACTCTGCAAATTTTCGCTTCAGATAATTATTTAATTGTATTTTAAAAGCCATCAATCAGCCACATTATCAGGCAGTGCATTCTAGATTCTAACTTCTTACTGCAGTTTTTCTCGTACTGCCATTGGTACTTGTAATTCTCCTGGACCCTTCTGACACTGGGAACAATTCATCTCTATCCACAGTAACCAGGTCCTTTTTTAAGCATCTTTATCAAACCTCCTTTCTAACATTTCTTCTTTTAAACATGTGAAAAACACACAAGGAAGAGCAGGGGTAGGCCACTGGCTCCTCAAGCCTGCTCCATCATTTAATCATATCATGGCTGTTGAGACTGTAACCTCAACTTCATCTTTCCACTTACCCACAGTAATCTTTCACCTCCTTACTTCCCAAGAATATGTTCACCTTGCCTTAAAAATGTTTAAAGATTGCTTCCATCGCCTTTTTGGGAAGAGAGTTAAGATTCATGATCCCAAAGAAAAGAACTCTCCTCAAATGCATCTTTTATGAGTAAACTCTTATTTTTGAAACTGCAACCCATTGTTCATAGGAACAGCCAGCCTCAACTTCTCCAATCAGTTCTGATGTGCTTCAGCAGTGGAACCATGCGTGTAAATCTTTTTTATGCACCTTCCTGTAAGACTTCACATTCTTCTGAAGGTGTGGTGCCCTGAATTGGGTCTGAGATACCCCACCAAAAGTTAGTGAGCATGTTCTCATCAATGTTCCATTTGAAAATGAACATTTAAAACTGGGTCACTTATCCTTGCAATGCAGTGCTTAAAATTGGGGTACCCTTAAAAACGGAGTTCTTTTAGGATTCCATATTTAGTAAATCCCATGTAGCATGGGATTTACTAAATATGTTACATATTTACTAAATATGTTACAGTCGTAAATACTCTTCAATAACAGTAAAGGAAAGACTTATTGGGTGTCAGAATATTATGAATCCAGTGTTTTGGAAAATAGGTTTTTGTTATAAAAGTATCTCCCCCCACGATCATTAGCCAAAAAGATTCAGACAATTGATTGAAATGTGTAAGTTATCTGTACCTAGAAACAGCATATAACAAGTGCTCAGCCCAGAAGAAAGATGGACCAGATGAAGAGGAAGAACACCTCGGAAGGAGTTCCTCAACACTTCAGCTGTAGAACAGAATGCAGCCCTCACAACTTCAACAAGACTAACACATTCTGCGCCATTCTGGTATTAATGAACTATCCCAAAGGTAATGATTGTATATTTTGTTTGTTGAACTCACATATCATATCTAAACTGCTGCTTCTTAGACCATAAGATATAGGAGCAGAATTAGGCCATTCAACCCATCAACTCTATTCCACCATTTGATTATGACTGACATGTTTCTACCCATAACCCTTGATCACCTTACTAATCAAGAACCTATCTCTGTCTTAAACACACTCAATGACTTGTCTCCAATTCCCTCTGTGGCAATGAGTTCCACAGAAAAAATTCCTCATTTCAGTTCCCACCTTCAGCTCCATCATCAAGTCTGCCTCATCACACATCTCGAAATCCAGAAGTGGCTGTTCTCTAGTGGGCCAATAAGCTGCTCCAAAAAACTGTCGTCTCATAGACATTCTACAAATTATTTTTCTTGAGATCCGCTACCAACTTGAATTTCCCAGTCCACCTGCGTATTGAAGACCCCCATGATTATTAGGGTCTTAGAGTCACACAGCACAGGAAACAGATCCTTCTGTCCAACCAGCCCATATTGACCATGTTCCCAAACTAAAGTAGTCCCACTTGCCTATACAACTTCAACATGACATCCCAACTCCTTTACTCAAAGGTCTGAGCAATGAAGGCAAGCATGCTCAATGCCTTCTTGACCACACTTTAACTGTGACACAAATTTCAAAGAATTTATAGACTTGAATCCCCAGGTCTCTCTGTTCTACAGCACTACCCAAGGCCCTACCATTAGTTGTAGAAGTCCTGTCCTGGTTTGTATTACCAAAATGCAATACCTCACATTTATCCAAATTAAACTCCATCTGCTACTCCTGATTTATTTTCTTCCCCATATTCTGACTAGGCAGCTTGTACTCAACTCCCATCATGATGCTTTTCTTTTGTGCTACCTCAAATCTACCCACAGATTCTAAGCCTCCGACTCTATATCAATTCTTGCTATTTAATTTCATTTCTTACGAACAAGGCAACACCACCCCTGCGACCCATCTGCCTGTCCTTTCAACCCTTGGATATTTAGTTCCCAGCCCTAGTCCCCTTGAAGCCACGTCTGTGATACCCACAATATCATACCTGCCAATTTCAATTTATGTAACAAGCTCAATAATCTGGTTTCATTTATTGTGTGCATTTAAGTACAACACCCTCAGTCCTGCTTTGACTGTCGCCCTTCTCACAGGTCTTTGCTTATCTGCCTGTGCCTGAAGTTAGACTCCTGACCCTTTCCACACTCTCTGTCCTATTAGCTGTTCTGGAAATTTCAACCTATGGTGAGCTTTTCCCTCTTTAACATCTTCCATAATTTTCCATGCAACTGAACCCTCACCTCCATTATTTATTTTATAGAGTTTAAGAACTAAACTATCTGAAAATTGCATTCAAATGGCTGACTGCTTATACAAGGTAATTATAATCACAGACTACCAAGATCAACAGTTCCATGGCTTTATTTTTATTGTTATTCATTTAAGGGCTATTGGCATCACTGGCCGGGCCAGCATTTATTGCTCATCCCTAGTTGTCCTTGAGAATATGGTGGTGAGCTTCCTTCTTGAACTATAGCAGTCCATTTGCTGTAGGTAAAACCTTAATACCATCAGGGCAAACCTCTAGGATTTTAGCAAAGTGATACTGACGTGATGGCATATATTTCCAAGTTAGAATGGTGAATGGCTTGGAGGGGAACTTGCAGGTGGTGTTCCCATGTTCAGTTTCCCTTGTCCTTCTAGATGGAAGTGATCATGGGTTTAAAACATGCTGTCTAAGGTGTCTTGGTGAATTTTGCACTGCACCTTGTAGATATGACACAATGCTACTACTGAGCACCAATGGTGGAGGCAGCAAGTACTTGGGGATGTGCTGTCGATCATGCAGCTTTGTGCTGGATTGTGTTAAGTTTCTTGAGTGATGTTGGAGCTGCATTCATCCAGGCAAACAGGGAGTATTCTATCACACTGCTGTCTTGTGTCTTGTAGATGGAAGAGAGGCCTGGGGGAGTAAGGAGGCGAGTTATTTGAAACAGGACTTTTTGCTTCTGACCTATTCTTGTAGCCACAGTACACATATGGTTGATCAATATGACATCCCAGGGTGTCGAGTAGTGTAGGATTCAGTGACGGTAACACCATTGAATTTCAATGGTCGATGCGTAGATTGTCTCTTGTAGGGGATAACCATTGCCTGGAATTTGTGCAGAACAAATATTACTTGCCACTTTTCACCCCAAATCTTGATATTGTCCATGTCTTACTGAATTTGGACAAGGTACAGTATCTGAGAAGTCAAGTAACAGTTGCGCCACACAAATGCCAGGCTATGACCATTACCAATAAGAGACAATCTAACTGCTCCCCCTTGACATTCAACGGTGTTACCATCACAGAATACCCCACCCACTATCAACATCCTGGGGATTACCACTGACCAGAAACTTAACTGGACTTGCCACAAACACAGTGGCTACAACAACAGTTCAGAGGCTGGAATACTGCGCTGAGCAACTCATCTCCTAACTTCTCAGAGCCTGTCCATCATCTACTAGGCACAAGTCAGGAGTGTGATGGAATATTCCCCACTTGCCTGGATGGGTGCAGCTCCAACACATTTCAAGAAGCTTAACACCATTCAAGATAAAGCAACCTGCTTGATTGGCAGTACATCCACAAGCATCTACTCCCTCCACCACTGATGCTCAGTAGCAACAGTGTGTACCACCTGCAAGATACACTGCAGAAATTCACCAAAGACCCTTAGACAACACCTTCCAAATCCCCAAACACTTCCATCTAGAAGGACATGGACAGCAGATACGTGGAAGCACCATCACTTTCAAGTTCCTCTTCAAGCCACTCACTATCCTGATTTGGAAATATATCACCATTCCCTCAGTGTGACTGGGTCAAAATCCTGAAATTCACTCCCCAATGGCACTACGGGTCAACCCACAGCAGGTGGGCTACAACAGTTCAAGAAGTCAGCTCACCACAACCTTCTTGAGGCAACTATGGACAGGCAATAAATGTTGGCCAGCCAGCGACACCTACGTCCCACAAATAAATTTTAAAAGTTTGCAAATGATGCCGAACATAATCAAGATTCAGCAAACATCCCCAATTCTGATATTAGTCTACAATCAAATATAGGGTAATTGTACATCTTGAAAAGTTTCAGTTAATCATGGAAAGCAAACATGGATGCATGACAGAGAAGTTATGTGTGACAAACCTTACTGAATTTTTGAAGTGGTGCATAAGGTAATGGATGGGGAAACTGTCTATAGATGTTGTTTATATGGACTTCCAAAAGGCATGTGATAAAGTCCCACATAACAGACTGATAACTAAAGTAGTAGGCCACTGAATTGAGGACAAATTACAAACATGGCTGGGAAATTGCTCGAGTGGCAGGTTACAAAGTAGGGATAGTAGGTAGGTACTCAAACTGGCAGGTAGCGACTAGTGTGTTCAGTTGTGGTCATCTCATTACAGGAAAGATATGGAAGCTTTAGAGAGGGTGCAGAGGAGATTTACCAGGATGCTGCCTGGACTGGAGGGCAGGTCTTATGAGGAAAGGTTGAGGAAGCTAGGGCTTTTCTCATTGGAGCAAAGAAGGAGGAGAGGTGACTTGATAGAGGTTTACAAGATGATGAGGCGTAGATAGAGTGGATAGTCAGAGACTTTTTCCCAGGGTGAAAATGACTACTACGAGGGGGTATAATTTTAAGGTGATTGGAGGAAGGTATAGGGGAGATGTCAGAGGTAGGTTCTTCACACAGAGTGGTGGGCATGTGGAATGCGCTGCAGGCAGTGGTAGTGGAGTCAGATACTTTAGAGACTTTTAAACGACTCTTGGATAGGTACATGGAGGATAGTAAAATGTAGGGTATGCAGGGTAGATTGACTTTAGTAGGATAATAGGTCAGCACAACATCGTGGGCTGAAGGGCCTGTACTGTGCTGTGCTGTACTGTTCTATGTTCTAGTGGTGTCCCATAAGGATCTGTGTTAGGGTATCAATTATTCACATTATTTATTAATGACTTGGATAATGGCATAAAAAGTCATATATCCAAATTTGCAGATAACACAAAGTTAGGTGACAATACACAAAGTTAGGTGACAATATACATGGTGTAGACGATTACATCAAATTGCAAAGGGAAATTGATAGATTGGGTAAATGGGGAAAAACTGCGGCAGATGCATTTCAGTGTCAGCAAGTGTTACATTAATCATTTTGATCCGAAAAAGCACAGATCAGGATGCTTTCTAGATGTCAGGAAGTGAAATACTGTGGATGTCCAAAGAGTCATGGGGCTTCAGATGCTTAGATCTTTAAAATGCCATAAACAGGTTTAGAAAAGTTGTAGGGGCAGCACGATGGGGCGCCATGGTGGCTCAGTGGTTAGCACGGCTGCCTCACAGCACCAGGGACCTGGATTCAATTCCACCCTCTGGCGACTGTCTGTGTGGATTTTGCACGTTCTCCCCATGTCTGCGTGGGTTTCCTCTGGGTGCTCTGGTTCCCTCCCACAGTCCAAGATGTGCAGGCTATGTGGATTAGCCATGCTAATAATGCAAAGTTACAGCGATAGGATAGGTATTGGGTCTGGGTGGGATGCTCTTTGGAGGTGTGGTGTTGATTTGATGGGCTAAATGGTCTGCTTCCACGCTTTAGGAATTCTATGATCATCCTCAAATTACGGCATAATCAATGACAAAATATTCCCATACACAAACTTTTCTCCTCTTACTTCCTATTCAGTTTTCTTTTTTTTTTAAACTTATGCTTTCTTCTCTACTGACCCTGACATTTGACAAATCTAGTCTTACCTTTTTAAAAAATGGAAGTGAGAAAATGGGAAGGGCAAAGATGAAAAAAAAAACGTGACTCCTGGTATCAGAACTTCATTACCACACTTCAAGATGACATCTTCAAAAAAAAAAAACTCAGCCCTCCAGTCGGAACGTACTCATCTACACACGAACCTTACCATTCAGAACCTCCATTTCCGGTTCTTCTCCCTCTGGACCTTTATGCAACCTCTTCGCTTTTCTTCTTTTTTTGCAAAAGAACATGAGTCCTAACACAATAATAATGTAAGCTACTGCAGCTCCAACAGACAGTCCAATAGTCTGGATCATTTTGTATGGAGTGTGCTGGTTTTCACTTCCATCAAGAATGGCTGGCTTGTCTGCAGGAACACAAAAAAAACAAAGACAATTTGGGAGTGTTTTTGCAAGTTTCAGACCAATGTGAAAGTATAAAGTGATGAGGACACTGTGTCAAGCAGTAACCATTACTCACCAACAACATAGAGGAAAGCATCTCTGTGCTGGATGCTGCAATTGTTGCCAGCAATGCAGGTGTATTTCCCACTATCCTCTGCACTGACATCGTAGATTACCAAGGACCCATTTGCCACTTTCTGTATCCTATGGTAAAGTATTCAGAGACAAACCAGAAGGAAAAAGGTCAAGCCTGCTCAGTTAAACGATTACTATGACTTTAATCTTCATGTATATTTTGAAAATTGAACTGGCAGAGTTAGCTACGAGGAAGAATTCAGAACAGTCTCCTGGAACAATATGTCGTGGATCTAATCAGGCTATTTTTGATTTGGTAGTGTGTAATGAGACAGGTTTAAATGATCTGAATTTAAAAAATCCAAGGAAACAGTGACCAAACTTGGTAGAATTTAGCATTCAGTTTGAGAGGGTGAAACTTGGACTGGAAACGACCGTGCCAAACTTAAATAAATAAGGGTATTTACAAAGTGAGGGCAGAGTTGACTGGAGTGGACAGGGAAAGGAGTTTAGCAGGCAAGACAGTTGATGGTCATAAGCAAATATTTAAGAAAATATTTCATGACTCACAGCAAAGACATATCTCAGGGAGGAAGGTGGTTTCTGGGAAGGGGATAAACCAACCATGGTTAACCAAGGAAATTAAAGATTGTATTAATCTGAAAGTAAAATCAAAGGAACATAGCAAAGATTGGTGGTAAACCAGAGGATTAGGAAAGTATCAAAAGCCAACAAAAGATTACTAAAAAAGGAAAAAAACAAACTATGAAGGTAAAGTAGCAAGTTACGTTGTGACAATAAGCAAGAGGTTAATTAAATATGTAAAAAGGAAGAGAGAAGTCAAAGTGAAAATATGCCCCTTGGATAACAATACTGGGGAAACAATAATGTGGAACCAGGAACTAGAACAGGAGTTGAATAAATATATTAGTCATTATGATTGAAGATACTAATAGCATTCCAAAAATACTAAATTAAAGGGCACAAAGGTAGGGACGGAATAAATACAATAACTATCACTACAGAAGATGTACCAGGGAAGTAAAGGGGCTAAAGAGCTAATGAGGGAATATGAGAGGATACAGAAAGAATAGAGAACCTGAATATTTTAATGGAGAAAGACTACAAGAAGATGCAGCACAGAAGGAAGGATTTTCGGATCCTCGTGCATGAATCACAAACATCTAGCAACCAAGTTCAGAAGGTAATAGGGAAGGCAAATGGAATGTTGACCTTTATTTCAAAGGGAATGGAGTATAAAAATAGGGAGATTTTGCTAACATTCTCAAGGCACTAGTCAGACCACACCTAGAATACCGTGAACCATTTTGGTCCCTTTATCTAAAAAAAGCAGGGATATTGGGCATTTCAGACAATTCAGAGAAGGTTCACTAGGTTGATCCCACGTATGGAGGGACTTTCTTGTAAGGAGAGGTCAATTTGGTTGGACCTGTACTCATTGAAGTTTAGAGGGAGCAGAGATGACCTTATTGACGCATACAAGATTGTTAGGGGACATGACAAGAAAGCTGTGAAGAGGTTGTTTTTGCTTGCGGGAGAATCCACGTCCAAAGGGCACAGCCGTAGAAAAATGTAACCTAAGAGAAAGGGGTTGCCATTTAAGACAAAGATGATGTAGATTTTTTTTTTCCTCCCTCAGTGGGTAGTAAAACTGTGATATTCTTTATCACAGAGAGCTGTTGAGGCTGGTAAAAATATTCAAGGATGACAGACAGAGATTTTCAGATTAGCAAGGGCATCAAGGATTATGGGAATAAGGCAGTAAAGTGGAGTTGAGGACCATCAGCTCAGCCATGATCTCATTGAATGATGGAGCAAACTCAAATGGGCCCAATAGCCTGTCTTCTCATATGTCTTATGGTTCCAGGAAATATTCCATAATAATATGGAAATATTCCAGATACCAAGCCACAGTACCTGCAGGTATATATAGCAAACTGTATACGTGATTCATTTATGTAATTTACAATTCCCAAAATTTTGTTGGTGAATACAATAGGGGAAGGTTTCTGCAGACTGTGAAGGGCACAAGTTTTATTTCCTCTCTGAGTGGAGATTTCAAATGAAACTGTATGTAAGCCTGATTCAGTTAATAAGATATTGGATTAAAATTGTGTATAGAAGTTTCATTCAGGATTAGGCTCAATTGCAATATGCCCATAATATTTTAATGGTCACGAAGTTCTCACAAGAAGAAATAGCCACTGAGAGTGAAGAACACATAGCTATGGAACTTTACTCAATCTTCAGGAGGAAAAATGAGTAAAAAGTGTAACACTATTTTATGGTGGTTATAACATATAACGCCACAAAAGATGGAACCTGCAACCACAATTCTACACAGTTATTTTCATATTTCAAGCATACTCTTGGGAGTGGTGAAACATGGATTCAAGTACTTCCCAGCTAAATTTAAAGTGGTCTTCGGTCCCTTCCTCACTTTACAATGGATTTAAAGATTATTGTTCCAAGACTGTAGAGAACAACTGAATTCCACGTTAATTTTAAAATAAAACAAAGAACTATGGATGCCAATCTGAAGAAGAGTCACGGGTCTTGAAACACTAATTCTACTTTTTCTCTACAGTTTCTGCCGGACTTGCTGAATCTCTCTAGCAATCTGTTTCTGTTTCATGTCAATATTGCCTGCCGGTAGTTTAAAAAAAAAGTCATGTCATACCTCTGTGTGCCCTTGCTGGATTCGAGGATCTTCTCCTTTACTTTCCAATGAATATTAGGCTGTGGTTCCCCAGTAGCTTGACAGTTTAACACTGCAATATATCCCTGGTATACAGTGGTGTTCTCAGGCTCCATCTTAAACTTTGGCAAAACTAGGGGGAAGGGACAGATTTTTTAAAAAATGCACAAAAGCAATATTTCCTGAGAGAAAAATTCTTCACCTATTTAGACTTTTCAGATGAAATGAATTATTCATTTTTTTCTTTGTACCTTCTGCCAGCTATAAGTACTCCCAAGTCTGTTAGAACTACTGAGGTATGAACTAGATGTAAGGGAGCATATCAAACTGCTACCAATCACTAAACATTTAACTTAGGACATGATATTTGTCCCATGACTGTGGTCAGTCCACAAGCAGAAGCCAAAGTCAGACATGTATTCTCAGCCTCAGAGTCATATCTTCAAATAAACAATCCAAGTCATTATTTCACTAAACCCTTGTGAATGATTGGTCAGTTTACATCAAAGACAAGAATGTAACAGAAATTACAGTAAGACTTCATTCCCTCATGGAGGACCAACAAAGATTGAGGTCAAGATTGTCTAAACACAATTTTTATTTTGTACTAGGAGAGGCAGCAGATAGAAGACTGGACCATAGCAAAAGTCAGACAATGTGCCACCTTTGTCTCTTGTTAATTAAAGTAAAAGGGTTATTTCCTTAGTTTTATTTCTGAAACATTAAACAACGTTGTGCAACTTTTAACAATTATTCCCAAATTTTGAACAAAGATTTTGCATATGTCAATGCATTTAAATTTGACAAATCATCTGATGAAAAATGGTGTGGTTTTTCAAGGACTGATTTAGAGATGAAGATTACAATAAAGGGATCGCACTGGGGTTTAAAGTTCACAAAAACTGGTGAGACCTGTTGTTAAATTCCTTGATCAAAATTGGCAAATGGTTGAAATTCTGGCAGAAACCATCTTACCTGCAACAATAAGGCGCACCGGTGCCTTGATTTGCCCTTGACTATTTGATGCAATACAAGTGTAGTGTCCAGCATCGCTTTTGGTCACTTTGGTAAAATGCAACAATCCGGCTTCTTGCCTAACATGAGGGGATATCTGACTTCCATCTGTATAGACAGATACATCAGATTGATCAATGACTTAAGTTATTATGCAGCCAAATGAAACAGAGGAAGCAAGTACTGAAATTAAACTAGACCATAGAAAAACTTAATAGAAAAAGAAAGTTTATCACACGAAAAAATAATTCACCAGAAAAATCCAAAGCAACAAAACAAATTCAACGAACAGCACCGATGGCCTAGGTGATTGCATCATCAGGATTACAGTTGTCTTTTTTTCCTGCTGTTAGGGCAGTAGGTTTAACTAAGAATTTAATTATTTGTTGAATAGATGGAGGAATCGCAAAGGAAATGCAGTTCTGTCAAAAGTGAAACCTGTGTTATGTGGGACCCACATGTATACACTCTAGTACAATCACATTCTTCCTGTAATAAGTTGACAAAAAACCGCAGGTCTCACTAGCTTTAACATACAATTCTAGTAAACACTTCTAATTTCACATTTTATAATTGATCAACAGAAAGAATCCTGTATGACTTCCTAAACACCTTATCAACCAGTCATTGTACTGTCATAGATGTGGAGATATGCACTCCAAGATTCTGTTGTCCCTCCATGCTTCTCAGACCTGCCACAATTTAGTGCGATTTCCTTTGCCCTGTGGTACCAGCCCTCCTGCCATCTATAACCATTTTATCTTTCAGCTGAGCTACATTTGGATTCACTTAGCACTTTCCCTTGGATCCCAAAAGCTTTGTTATTTTTGTCCCGGAGTGTAGTATAGGACCATACTAGATGAAAATGCCTGCGGACACCCCAAAATGCTTGATACGCATGTGTAAAATATGCATGCACAGTACCCTGGCCTGTAATGCCAGTAAAGTCATTATATTCTGTTCACTCTAATATTCTGTACTCCTGCATCTCCAACCAAAGTTGGAAAATACACTTTTTAACCAATATGTTTCATCTGTCATGTTTTTGCTCATTCATGCAGCCCATCTAAATCTCATTAATGTCTCTTTGCAATGTAAAGACATTTTTTTTTAAAAACTTGGACTGTGAACTGAAAATGGGAAAACAGACTGCATTAAACTAGAGCAACTGTAAGAAAAACAGAAAATGCAGGAGGACCCCCAAATCTCTGTGCTGCAGCTATCTACAGTTTTTCCCAAGTTAAGTAATATTTAGCTCTTCCATTCTTACTGCCTTCGTAGTGTAATCCCTACTAGGATTCTCTTCTAGTTCTTTAAAGAATGATAGCAGACTTGAAATGTGAACTAAGTTTCTCCTGCCAGACCTGCCAAGTTTCTCCAGCACTTTTTCCTCCTTTCAAATATCCAACAACTGAAGTATTTAGCTCTTATTAAAAGAGATGTAATAAGATGTTTACGTTTTGTTATGGCACAGACCAGACCCCCTCAAAATATTTTAAGAAGGTAGCCTAGACCCTAACTTGCTCTTATTTTAAAGTTATATGTGAAGTACACGTTCCAGATGTGATGCAACTGGCCAAATCACTCGACACTAAGCAAAACACAATTTGTTTAAACACTGTCGTTAAAATACAAACAAAAAGAAAGAGGAATTTAGAATAACTTTACTATTGGAAAACTTAACTGAATAATAGATGCAGTACCTGTTACTAATTAACTGTTCCAATATAGTAACATCCCATAAACACAGCCCTTGGCAAAATTTCAGACAGATTCTCAGTCAATTCTCCAATCCAGGGGGAATCAACATCAGGAGAAATTTCACAGAATGTAACAACTAGCAATTATTTTACTGAAGCTCTGGCTCTTCTGGGACCCAAACAGTTTCTGACTGCTACAGGGAAAAAAAAAACTTGAAAGCCTGATCTGAGAACTGGCCACTCCCCTTCCATTTTTATAACTGCTTAAAAACCTAAAGGCCTCCTCTAATTTTTGACTTAAGCTGTCTCCCGTAGCCACTTCAGCACCTGTGCCTTTATAATCTCTCTCCAAAAATACAACCAAGGACAAAATAACCCTTTTAAAGTGACACCATCATCACAAGTTTTAAAAACAAGTTATTGGAAGCCTTTGAGAGTTGTATTTACAACATTTTATTCAAGCAGTGAGGGAACATTTCAGACAGAGCAGCATCAACTAGCATTCTAACCTCAGTAAATGGGAAATTATTGGAAAAAGTAGTGAAGGAGAAAATTAATCTTCATTCGGAGACACAAGATTTGGTCAGGACAATCAGCAGAGTTTTGTCAGAGGGAGGTCATGCCTAACAAATCTGGTGGAATTTTGAGAGGTGACGACCAAATGTTTGGATCAAGGTAGCGGGGTTGATGTATTATTCCAGATTTCAGCAAGGCCTTTAACAAGGTCCCACATGGGAAACTAAAGAAGGTAAAAGTTCATGGGATCTAAGGAAATTGGCAAAATGGATCAGAAATTGGCTTAGTGACAGGAGTAAGAGACTGGTAGTGGGATGCTGTGTGATTGGAGCCTGATGTGCGGTGACGCACCGCAGAGATCAGTCCTGGGTCCTTTATAGTTTGTGATATTTATAAATGATGGATACAAGAATGTGGGACGGACGATAAGTTAGTGATGAGTAATGATATAAAGATTGGCTAGGTGGTTGACAGTGAGGAGGAAGATGTTAAGCTTCAAGAGGATATAAACAGACTGGTCAGATGGGCAGATCAATGACAGATAGAATTTAGCTCCGATAACTGTGAGGTGATGCACTTTGGAAGAAGGAGCAAGACAAGGAAATACTCAATGAATAGCAAAACATGAGGAAGCTCGGAGGAACAGAGATCTTGAGTTGACTGCAGACCCCTGAACGTTGCAGGGCAAGTTAACAGTATACTTAAGGCAGCATACTTGAACCCTTGACTTTGTCAGTTGTGGCATAGATTATAAGAGCAGGGAGTTCATGTTGAAGCTTGGGATGGGGGGTGAGGGAGGGACGCAAAAGGAGAGGAGATTTGTCACGTTATTGCCTGCGATGGAGCATTTTCAGCTAAGGAGAGAAACTGGATAAACTTGGATTACTTTCTTTGAAGATGATAACATAGAGGGAGGACCTGATAGAGGGGTTTGGAAGGGTCATGGACAAGGTGAATATAAGCAGCTGTTACCCTTAGTCAAAAGGTCAACAACAAGGCGGCATCATTTTAAAGTGAAACTAGGATTTGAGGAATAGTCTTTGAGTATCTAGAATGCACTGGTTGGCAAGGTGGTTGAAGCAGAAAACATCACAACCTTTAAGTAGTACTTGGATGAACACATGAAATGTTATAACATTCAAGATCATGAGTCTGGTGTGGGAAGTGGAAGTGTAGGTAGTAGCATATTTTTGGCAGAACAGACTTGATGGGCCAAAGGACCTCTTCAGATTCTCAGACAATGAGACTAGGACAATTTCATCCAGGCATAATACTTAAATTGGGTTCTCAATTGGGACTATTTGTTGTGGACACAGGAGGGCTCAGCAAAGTAACAACCTGATTGGTTCCTGAGCAGGTGGCTTCGGCCTTGGGAGTGGATGATATGGCAGAAATAGCCAGCTTGTGAAGAGAAAGCATCCATTTCTTCTTCTCTGTGGAGAAGTAAAAGGAGCCCCTGGTAGCTTGCTACTTTGCACTTTGGCAGGAAGAGAAGAAGAACTGAACATTATTTAAATAAGGAAACACTGCAGAAAGCTGCAGCACACGTGGATTTGGGGATCCTCACAAAATGCTAGCATCCAAGTTCAGCAGGTAACCTCGTAGGCAAATTAACTGGTTGCCTTCATTTCAAAGGGAATGGAGCACTAAAATAAGAAGGTCTTGCTGTAACTATACAAGACACAATTCCAACCACTGCTGGAATACTGCGAAAGTTTGATCTACAAGGATTTACATATGAGGAGAGCTTGTACTCACTGGAGTTTAGAAGAATAAGGGAGAACTTATTGAAACAAACAAGATTCTTGTCAGGGAAGGGTGCTTTACAGGTCAATGCATAGAACATAGAACTGTACAGCACAGTACAGGCCCTTTGGCCCATGATGTGCCGAACATTTACTTGAAACCTAAGGTCTATCTAACCTCCACCGCTACCTTATACTATCATCCATATGCCTATCCAGTAGCTGCTTAAATGCCCCTAATGAGGCCGACTCCACTACCCTCTCCGGCAATGCATTCCATGCCCCTACCACTCTCTGAGCAAAGAACCTACCTCCGACGTCTCCCCGATATCTACCTCCTTTCACTTTAAAACTATGTCTCCTCGTAAAAGCTACCTCTACCCTAGGATAAAGTCTCTGGCTGTCCACTCTATCTATATCTCTGATCATTTTGTACACCTCTATCGAGTCACCTCTCATCCTTTGTCGTTCTAAAGAGAAAAGCCCTAGCTCTCTCAACCTTTCCTCATAAGACCTTCCCTCCATTCCAGGCAACATGCTGGTAAATCTCCTCTGCACCTTTTCCACTGCTTCTACATCTTTCCTGTTAAGAGGTGACCAGAACTGGACACAATATTCCAGATGTGGCCGAACCAGGCTTTTGTATAGCTGGAGCATAACTTCACGGCTCTTGAACTCAATCCCTCAATGCAGGGAGGTCGATTCCCCTAGTGCAACAGTCTTAATCCAGAAGAAACATAGAAGATAGGAGCAGGAGGAGGCCATGTGGCGCTTCGAGCTTGCTCCGCCACTCTTCGCGATCATGGCTGATCGTCCAACTCAATAGCCTAATCCTGCCTTTTCCTCATAATCTTTGATCCCATTCGCCTCAAGTGCTATATCTAGTCGCCTCTTGAATACATTCAATATTTCGGCATCAACTACTTCCTGTGGTAATAAATTCCACAGGCTCACCACTCTTTGGGTGAAGAAATGTCTCGTCATCTCCATCCTAAATCGTTTACCCCAAATCCTCATCCTGTGACCCATGGTTCTGGACACACCCACCATTGGGAACATCCTCCCTACATCTACCTGTCCAGTCCTGTTAGAATTTTATAAGTCTCTATGAGATCCCCCTTCATTCATCTGAACTCCAGCAAAAACAATCCCAACCTCGTCAATCACTCCTCAAACGTCAGACCCACCATCCCCGGAATCAGCCTGGTAAACCTTCGCTGCATTCACTCGAGAGCAAGGGCATCTTTCCTCAGAAAAGGAGACCAGAACTGCACACAATATTCCAGAAATTTTTTCTCAGAGGGTTGGCAATCTGAGGAATTCTCTACCTGTCGAGATTGGGTTGTTAAGTTTATTAAGTATATGATTTTTAAACAGTAAGGGAATCATATGAAATAAGGCAGGAAAATAAAGTTGACAGTTATCAGATCAGCTCATTGAATGGCACAGCATGCTCAATACATCAAAATGTCCCATTCCTGCTCTTGCATCTTATGGTCTACTCTCCCTTACCTTTTTTTTTGCTGTCTCAGCAAATTCTCAATTGAAAAGAAAAGGTCTCTAACTTCAAGACCTAGCAGATTCCCCACTCTAACATTGCTATCAAACCACAAATCAACTCTGGTTTAATGAGCAATGCAGGAAAACATGACCAGTAGCAATACCAGGCATACACAAAAATGAAGTGTCAATCTGGTGAAGATCGTCATGCAACAGCTCTCCCAATTTTGGCACTAGTTCCCAGATGTTATTAAGGAGGACTTTGCAGGGTGGGCAGGGTTGATCTTGCTGTTGGCATTTTTGGTCAATGCTAGGTGGTCTGTCTGGTTTCAATTTCTGGTGACATTTTAGCAATTTGATATAGAGGAGTAGTTTGCTAGGCCACTTCAGAAGCAGTTAAGAGTCAGCCACATTGTTGTTGGTCTGGAGTCACAGACCTATTCAGCTAAGGATGGCAGATTTCCTTCCCTAAAGGACATTCATGAATCAGATGAGTTTCTATGATAATCACTGTTGATCATCATTAGACTTCATAGTTTTGAAGAAGAGCCACTGTTTGTATTGTTAGTAAACTTAGTAAACTTGGCTATGATATACTTCGTCCCTTCATCCAAGTCATCCATATAGATTGGCTTACTCATGTTTCAATTTCTTATAATCGAGGATAATGATCTTTCATTGGCACCCTTCATGTACTAGTTACATTATTTAATAAAGGAGACAAACAAAGCATTGAAAAGACCAGAAACATGGTGAAGATTTTACTGGAATTCATTGATGTGCAGCTTTAAACACTAATAAACATACAAGAGAGGTCAGAGTTGAAGGAATAAAAATTCTCACCGCCTTTGCTCCATTTGATGACTGGTTTCTCACGGCCAGTTGCAGAACACTGGATCGTCATATCCTTATTCAATTCCATACACTGCTGTGACTGTGGAGGTGGTGTGAACTTGAGCTTCTCTGCAAAATAAAATGTAATGTAATGAGAGTTGCAAGATCTGGGTAGTTCAATGTGTAACACTTCAGATGATACCAGACAGAAATAGCTTAGGATTAGACATGGATACATTTCGCCAAGATGGTATGGGAAAAGTAAAAATGGCACTGCAATTAACTCCGTAAGTTAGTATTGCACACTCACTCCAGAGGCTTGGTGGGACAAGTCTATGTTATGCAGAATTAAATCATGTGGACTAGATTTGAGATATCTACTAACTGCTTTCAGCATCCTTGAGATTTACCGTGGGACTGAGAGAACATATGAACTGTAGTGAAGAAAATTTGAAAAAGTTAACACTGCAGGTGTCAGAAGTGGCTGAAGAGAGGTACAGTCACACTTAATGAGCAGTTCTAAAAGTGGGACAGTAGGTCATTGAGGTCCAGGTAGATATATTGAAAGAAGAGTTAGCAAACATGGAATCTTGGGTTCATAAAGAGAAGTGTGGAGTACAAAAGCAGGGAAATTATGCTGAAGTTTAATAAAGCAATGACATGGCCACAGCTAGAGTATTGCATCCAGCAGTGCCATATCTCACTTGAGGAAAAATGAGAGGCCTCTCTTGAAAATGCAAATAGACACCAACATTTACAACACAGAAGGAAGTCATCTAAACCATCATGCCTGTGCTGGTGAATCAAGATCTGGCTCCACAAGGCCATTTTCCACTTTTTTGCTGCGGCAATGCATGCAATTATTTAAATACCTCTTAAATGTTACTCGAGTTTCTGGCTCTGACAGTAAGCTCCGGACTTTAGAACATAGAACACAGAACATTACAGCGCAGTACAGGCCCTTCGGCCCTTGATGTTGCGCCAACCTGTGAAACCAATCTGAAGCCCATCTAACCTAAACTATTCCATTATCATCCATATGTTTATCCAATGACCATTTAAATGCCCTTAAAGTGGGCGAGTCTACTATTTTTGCAGGCAGGGCATTCCACGCCCTTGCTACTCTCTGAGTAAAGAACCTACCTCTGACATCTGTCCTATATTCACCATCCTCTGAATGTAAAAAAGATTTCTCAACTGTTCTCTTAATCTATCTGCCTCTCGACTCATGGACAAAGTTCCTTCTTACCACATAGTTCGGCAGCATCCTGCTAAATCTCATCTGCAACCCTTTTAATGCAATCACATCCTTCCTATAACATGGTTATAGAGGGAGTTCATTGAAGATTTACCAGCTTAATTCCTCAGATGGCAGGACAGACATACAAGGAGAGGTGAATCGGTTAGGGTTATATTTGCTAGAGTTAAGTAGAATGGTGGTGGTTCTCATGGACACCTATAAAATTCCAACAGGACTAGACAGGGTAGATGCAGGAAGGATGCTTCCAATGGCAGGAGAGCCCAGTACTAGGGAACAGTCTGAGGCTACAGGATAAACTACTTAGGACTGAGATGAGACTTCACCCAAAAAGTAGTGAGGCTTTGGAATTCAATACTACAGAAAGTGGTCAAGGCCAAAATATTGTATGATTTCAAGGACTTGGATATGACACTTGGGACTAAAAGGATCAAAGGAAATGAGGGAAAAGTGAGAGCAGGCTATTCAGTTGGTTAGTCAGCCATGATCCTAATGAATGGTGAAGCAAGCTTGAAGGGCCAAAATGGCCTACTCCTGCTCCTATTCTCCATGTTTTTAAATCCAATCAAACCTCTCCATAATGTTGATCCCGTTACAGTTCAGATGTAAATCGTCCAACTTGTTCAGTTCCCATCTCCCAGAAACAGCCTAATGCCTCAGGAAACGAAAACTCTTCTTCGCGTATCATCTCTCCAGTCACAAATTCATCAGCTCTCTCCTTTTATTCCTATGCTCACTGCTGCATGGAACTGGGAATAATCTAGAGAAAAAAACATTGAAGTCTTGCCTTTCAATTTCCTACATAACTCCCTAAAGTTAGCTTGTAGGATCTAATGTGCACTTCTCTCCATTAATCCCAATATGGACTACAAACACGAGCTGGTCTTCCTCCCTCTTCAGAATGTCCTGCAGCCAATCCTTGACTCTGCCACCTCGGAAGTATCATGCTGTCTACTCCACTCTCAAATGGATTCCACTACTGCCATTTAACACTTCCTCCTCAAGGACGCCCACCTCAGAGCAGCTGGGTTACCAACGTTGGTCCACACTGGCCTCTATGAAGAAGCTGTCATTCTCAATATTTTCTAAGGTCAATAAAAGGTTTGCAAGCAAAATATACTTGGAGGATTCCCTCAATACCTGCCTGGTCCCCTTCTGTCTGACAATCACCTATTCCCTCTTTTCCTGCACTTCCTTAAACTGAGGGATAATCACATCCTGAAACTTATTAACTACAAGCCTCTTAGCCTCATGAATACCCCATAGTGCCCCCGCAACTGCCACATAAGATGGTCTAGCCAGAGGCTCCTCCTGCACACATGGTCATCCAGAATGCCAGGAGTGCCTAGATTTTCCCACATAGTGCAGAATGTGTAAATCGTTGGCCTGATAGTTCCGCTGCTCCAATTAATTGATGGTATGAAGACCAGTGACACAGACTTTAAGGTTTTGGGTAAGGGATGCAGGGAGAATGTGAACAAGAAACTTTTAAAATTTCAAGTGATAAGATCTGGAACTCAAAAACAAACATGATTAATGATTTCAAAATGAAAATCTTGGGACACTTAAGGGAAATAAACTTGCAGGGCTACAGTGATAGAGTGGGGCGACTCTATCTTGCTCCACAGATGCTGCCATACCCACAAAGTCTCTCCAGCACTTTGCTTTTAATTGTGCAGAAGTACTTGGCTAAAGCATTTCCCCTTCTTTCTTCATTATTCTATGATTTGCAAGAACACAGACCCTCAGGGAAACTGGACGGGGAGATTATCATGAACAGCTGTTCACAGATTCTTTGGATCGAAATTGTCACTGTCACACCTTGAAAAACCTACATATTGGAGAGAACACCTCACTGGGGTAGCACCTGGAAATCAAGACCTGCTATTCCTGGAGTCATGACAAAAAAATTCAAGATTTTAATCAAAGTACGCAAAACTCACCCAATTTTCTTGTCTGTTTGGACCCAGGTGAACTGAAAGCATTATACAGGTTTCTGTACTTAACATGAATTGCTACATATTACAAATGAATAGATTCCATCTACAAACTGAAAATATAACTAATAGTTAAAACTCAAAGCTATAGACAGACTGATAGGGAAACACAGAAACCAAAAACTGAAGTAGGCTATTTGGCCCTTTGAGCTTACTCTGCCATTCCTTGGCTGATTATCCAACTCAAAAGCCTGTTAATACTTTTCCCTCGTTTCTTTTGATCTTTAGCCAAGTGCTCTATCCATCTCCTTGAAATCATACAATGGTTTGGCTACAACTGGTTTCTGTGGTAGTGAATTCCACAGGGTCACCACTTTCTGGGTGAAGAAATTTCTCCTCATCACAGTGTTACACGGTTCACCCCATACCCTTCGACTGTGATCCTGGATTCTGGACACCACCCCCCATCCCCAAAAACAACCCCACCATCAATCTGGAACACCATTGCTGCATTTATCCTATTAGCCTTGTTAGAATTTTATAGGTTTCCATGAGAACTCCCCTCGCCCCCAATTCTTCTAAACTCCAATAAATATAGTCTTAATTGATCCAGTCACTCTTCATGTGCCAGTTCTGCCATTCCAGGAATCAGTCTGGTCAATGCTCGCTAGCACTCCTTCCATAGCCAGAACATCTTTCCTCAGAAGGAGCCTAAAACTGAACATGACACTGGGAATAATCTGAAGAAATATCTTTGAAGACTTGCTTTTCAATTTTCTACGTAACTCCCTAAAGTCAGCTTGCAGGATCTGCACACAATACTCAAGGTGTGGTCTCTCCAAGGTAATGAACAATTACAGCAAAGCACCCCTGTTCCTTTACTCGAATCCTCTCACTGCGAAGGCCAACACACCAGTTGCCTGCTGGATTTACGTGCCTACAGTAAGTCAGAACACAGAACATAGAACAGTACAGGCCCTTTGGCCCACGACGTTGTGCCGAACTTTTACCCTAAACCTAAGACCTATCTAACCTCCACCCCTACCTTATACAATCATCCATATGCCTATCTAATTGCCGCTTAAACGCCCCTAATGAGGCCGACTCCACTACCCTCTCTGGCAATGCATTCCACGCCCCTACCACTCTCCGAGTAAAGAACCTACCACTGACGTCTCCCCATATCTACCTCCACTCACTTTAAAACTATGCCCCCTCATAATAACTACCTCCACCCTAGGAAAAAGTCTCTGGCTGTCCACTCTATCTATACCTCTGATCATTTTGTACACCTGTATCAAGTCAAAAGTACTGGTGTACAAAATGCTGAGGTCTCATTGTACCTCCTCTTTTTCCAATAATAATCTGCCCTCATGTTTTTGCAACCAAAGCGCATAACTTCACATCTATTCACATTATACTTTACCGGCCATGCATTTGTCCACTTGCTCAACTTGTGCAAATCACACTGACAAAAAGACACTGCTGTTAGGAGTAGAAGGCAATTGAATGGCCTCTGTCCACAGGGTTCCCCAAGATGGTACATTTGTTTGTCAGGACTTGTTTTTTTTTAAACCTGTCTTCTCCAGGTATTTTTCGTTTCCTTGCAGGAGGCACAGAGCAATTGGTTTACAAATAAGGTCTCTGACATATTAGTTAAAAACAACAGTTTACAGCAAGTTGTGGGAGAAGAAAACCGTTTCCTTCAGGAAGCAGATATTTTCTACTGCAGAGACACATTACCTCCCCTTCTAGAGGTACAAGGCTTCTGGCAACATCATTTACTCCCACAAACTGTTCAGCAACCCGAAAGGCAACCACACTGTTGAAAGCAGCAGATGGCCTGTCACTCAAAGTTAGAATTCCACAAACCAAAACAGCCAAGTTCTGCCGATCATGTCACTTTATATAAGTGCACAGGACAGCCAATCTGCAACCAACCTCTCCTACAATTCTTGAACAAAATAGCAATGTAAACACCACTTGCAACAAGTTTCAGTAACTTGCCTTTAAGAAATGCAGCGATACCTTTCACAATTATTGGTATTAACAGTCATCATCATCATTACAGAATCATCACAGAATCCCTACAGTGTGAAAACAGGCCCTTCGGCCCAACAAGTCAACACCAACCCTCAGAGCATCCCACCCAGACCCATCCTCCTATAAACCCACCTAATCTACACATCCCTGAACACTACTGGCAATTTAGCATGGCCAATCCACCGAGCCTGCACATCTTTGGACTGTGGGAGGAAACCAGAGCACCCGGAGAAAACCCACACAGACATGGGGACAATGTGCAAACTCCACACAGATTGTCACCTGAGGGTGGAATCGAACCCGGGTCCCTGGCACTGTGAGGCAGCAGTGCTAACCACTGAGCCACCATGCCACCTTTTCCTATTGCAGTCAACAAATAAAAAGTACAGAAAAAAAGATACACACAATCTTTAGACCAGTTAATCTTTTTGATGACATTGATATGGGATAAATACAAGCCAGGACCCCAAGTGTAGTCGCCTGTTCTTCACATGGAATGGACTAGACTGGGATGCATTACACTCTATGCATTGCGTTGAGATCTGAAAATGGCAGAAAACCCAATCAAGTACTACTCTGGCAGTGAAAAAGAGTTCATAGAATCTCAGTATGTTCTCTGCTGATGGTTGGAAATTATGTCTAGCTTCACGTAATGAGAGAATCAAGGAAGGTGCCCAGTTGTCCTCAAGTTTGCTCCAAGAACCGCTGGTAAAGTATGTGTCAAAAGTCTATGTCAGCAAAGTATCAGGTGTATTGCTGAGGACCTCCAAGCTTGAACAGCTTGCTAAAACCTGTCATTGAGGTTCATTGCAAATACTCAAGTGAATAACGATTAAATATTGCTTGTGACAGTGAAAATACATCTTTGCAGAACATGAGAAAACAAAATAGTACAACCAGCGCCATGTAGCCTAGCAGGTGCTGGGAATTACCTTGTACAGCATATTTTGTACTACTGAATTCAGGATCCAAATGAAACGGTTAAATGTAGATTAAGTAAGAAATTGTTAGAAATGAAAATTAAAGTTGCCCCAGGTGACTGCCTGCAGTGAATGGATACTTGCACTTACCCAAAACCTGGACACGTGCATCCTCCTCAATGTACCCTGCTGAGGTTCTGCTCTGACATTTGTATACAGTTCCATCATACACTTCTACATTATTAATACGCAGAGTTCCATTGTCAAATTCCTCAAATCGACTATCCTGCAAGTTAATCAAGACAATAAAAAGATATAGAAATTTATGAAAGTCTGCTAACTGAGGTCAGGTTAAACAAAAAAAAGTCTGCATCTTTGTCAAATAAAAAACATTTCCGCCCTGCCAACAAATAACTTCAGACAAGAATTATAATTTAAGAATTGGGTTTTAGGTAGCTTAGGTGAAAGATAGTTACTGCTGGCACATTAACACGTGATATGGAAGTGATTTGTTTGTATGCAGAACAATGTTACAGCTGCAACTGTTTTACTGTTGAAAAGACAAACATATGGGTGAAGATTTTCATCTTGTACACATCAGGACTAATGCAAAATGTCAAATTATAAATATCACAACAGTTGATACTGTAGGAGGAAAAGAGAGTTCTGATTGGTCAGCAGATTGGCCAACAGCCATGGCTTTACCACAGAGAACAGAACAGGGAACTACAGATTCTCAAACTCCCAGGTAATTCAAACATGGCACAAAACTTGAATATATTCCTTTGGCTTGCAAAGGTTCCTGCATACAAAATGCACAGTGCTTCGAACAAGCATAAATAGGCCACATTACAAGCTAGACCAATTATCTTGTATTTCATTAGTATATCCAAAATTGTTAAGCAATTTCTGCTCAATTGTGGAATCACATCTACCAGAAAACTTTTAGTTTTGGTTTTTGTAAGCACAGGCTAGCCAAAAACAGTCTATACACTGCCTCTCTCATGTAGGAAGCTGGCTGGGATTGTTGGAGGTCAGTCATCTCAGAACACCTCTACAGGAGTTCCTGAGGGTCTTGTCCTGGGCCCAACTATTTTCAGCTGTTTCATCAATGATCCTCCCCCCCATCATAAGGTCAGAATTAGGGATGCTTGCTGATGATTGCGCAATGTTCAGTACAATTCACGACTCCCCAGATACTGAAGCAGTTCATGTCTAAATGCATGACTGTATCGGCGCTGCCTCGTGCTCCCACGAGGAGCTCGAACAGTTCATACACTTCACTAACACCTTCCACCCCAACCTTAAGTTTACCTGGACCATCTCTAACACCTCTCTCCCCTTCCTGGACCTCTCTGTCTCCATATCGGGCAACCACCTAGAAACCGATATTCATTTCAAGCCCACCGACTCCCACAGCTACCTAGAATACTCCTCCTCCCACCCACCTTCCTGCAAAAATGC